AATTGAATTTCTCATAAAACAAATACAGGTAAAATATAATCATTCTGATGTGACACAATTGCTATGGCATGAAAAGTACAATTATTGCCCTTGTACATTATTTTACAATGCAATAATTTTTTAAAAGCATTATCACAAGATTGCCTGAAGTACTTGTCTAGGGTTTATCCAGCATTACTGTTTGCTAGAAACAAACAAACAAAAAATGATCCATTCTTCAGCTGATAGTTTCTAGGAGTAAGTTTTCTTGTCTCCCAGGTTCTTGAGCTTTCTGAGGATTGTAAGTATTGAATATGATAGACAAAAACTGCAGTTTTCATAAATCTGTCAATTATTTGTCTTAGCAATAGATTTCTCTACTGAAAACCCAAGAGCCTTGTATTCCTAATAATGTGTGATAGTGACACCCATTAAAAATAGGGATACTGTATTTCATGTCCTTTTACCATCTCCGTTCTAGGCACTGCTGCTAGTACTCTCTACATTCTATTTTATAAATACAGACAAGAGTTGGCCCGTCTAGCTCAGACAGGGTTCATACACACCAACTAAAATATTTCAGTAGCACAAGACGTCTTCATTAGTTAACGTAACAGAACCAGGGGCTCTATTGCTGCTCACTCCTCAGCTGGCCTTGAAGAAATGGTCCAACTTCCAGAACTCTGTGAGAGCATCCTAACAAAAAGGGTTCTGCATAGTCAAGCAACATATTAGATCAAGAATTGGGCATTCTGACCCCAATAGTGACTCCCCCTCATCGATACATATTGCCGGACACAACAGATGATTTTACGTTCTTTCAGTTGCTCTTTTATAATATAGGAAATAGAAGAAAATTTGAGCACTGCTGTTACAAGAATAACAGAAAATTGTGTGTGTATGCATACTCACATATATACATACATATATGTATATATATGAGCACATATATGTATATACATGTGAGCATAAAGACTGTAGTCTCCACAGTTCTTGAATAGTATTTGCTGTCCTACAGATATACTTTAATTTCAATAGGTATAATCTTCATATATTATTTCCCATATTGTTCAATATATGCTCCATGGGGGGACAACTGTGAGGCTTATCTTCATGTGCATCACTGTATATGATGTAATATCGTCATCTGGGGCCTCTTGAGAAGTATATCCTTTGGAAAGATATGTGTCTGTAGTAACTGCAGTGGCCAAGTTTCTCATAGAATAGTAAGCCTTAGGAGTTCAGATACGTAAAGGACCTTTGATACCATAGGGTATGTTTTGGTAACATTTGTCATAAACATGGAATTGTACCTGGAAGGGTTAAATTGCTTGTCAAAGAACACGAGTCTTTACTGAGAGAGCTGGCACAAGTCTGAGATATGTCCCCTAGGACACCGCCAGGCTGCATTTGCCACTGTCTGCTTTCTTCTTAAAGTTACAAACACTGAGCAGTATTTATACTGGGGACAGTATCTGTAACCATGCCGTTAGAAGCAAACAACACATGCATAATAAAAGTCATGTCTATAAAATCTATGAAAGTAGCAGAAAACACTGCTAGGAAAGGTATGCCAAATTTGCACAATATATATTGAAATAAAGACTTTTCAAACAGAAGAAAAACAATAGTGATCTGAATGATTTACTTCAAATGGGATTTTTCAAAAGACTAACGTGTGAATGCTCAATCTTACCTAGAGAGTATGAAGACGACAATGAGGTGACATGTGAAAAGTTCAAAGCAGAGTCTGATAGCTATTAAGTACTTGACAAAATGGAGATATTAGACGTATAGCATGCCAGTGGCCATTAGGGACAGGTGTGCTCAGAGTCTCCTATTTATAGCTTAAATTTAGTTATATTTATAACCAAAATGCACCTAGCAGTGAAGAGAACACACACTTCCCTTTTATGGCTTCTGACTAGGAAGAGTCCAGAACATCTACTTGCAAAACGAGGAGGGAAAAATACGTGATCAAAGCAACTGCACCTTCCCAGTGGATGGGCAAATACCCTGTCCATTCACAGAGGAAGGGTAAGCTGAGACGCAGGAGGATGTTGACACACAAAAGTAAGCAAACTCTACCAGTGATATAATCTTTCTGAATGCAATAAATATTTTAAACCATCTGGAAAATGTAAAACTGCCAAATTGAAAGAAGTTTGAAGCCAAGCATTATTTACATCTTCTTGAAAGACTGTTGTTGTTTACTCATTGAGAACTCTCGAGAGATGCTCTCAAATATAAATACATAAACCAACCACAGATTTAAACACCCCCTGAGAAATGTTGACAGAGGCTAACTGATTTATCGTGCTCCTCAGTTTAGAAATAGGCTTAAAAGGAAGATTATTTACTGATAATTTCACAGAATTCTCAATAGATTTTCCACACTCAGTGCACAACATCTGAACCTGATACATCTGTAGTATCACTATGAACTGCCACATGTCTGCTGGATTGCTGACCCATCTTTCAAACCTGTAGGGTTGCCTTCATTTCTTTGTCTTAGCCTTAATGACACATTGAGGATGGTTACCTGAAATAATGACAAACCCCAAAGTTGAATGGTGTAGGAAGGATGAGGGCTTCACACATTTAAAAATAGGCGATCTAGATTCCAAAAAAAATCAATTCAGAACCCAATAATATGCTTATTACTCAACCAAATTTTGTTGGTTGAATTCCATGTAGATACAGTTTTGGAATAAGTAAAATATATAATCTTATACAGAATTTTAAACTAGTATCAATATAAGCGTATGTACATTTCAAATAATCAGGTATAGAGCTGAAAGTGAATTCTACTTAATCTGAGCAATACTTAAATACTGCTCATTTCAAGTGAGCAATACTTAATCTCTGCATACACAGGTAAAGGGATCAAGCAACCTAGATTATATTAGCTCTCTGTGACCTGGATTATATAACCAGCTGAGATTAGGCTACCCCATCAGTATTTCACAAGTTTAAAATTTTCACAATTTGTGTCATCTACTACCAACGGGCAAGCTATTACGTTCATTACTCGGAATACTTTTTCTTTCTTTTAATGTTAACGTTAATAAACGTTTTTAAATGGATAGTCCCAGTTTCCAGTGAGGTAACATTTCAGGGTGATCCCCCAGTCAAGAAGGATGCGCTCATAGACACCAAACAACTTACTAGGAGAAATTGCTTTATGAAATAAAACGAAACTTTTCAAAAAAATAAAACTAGGCTTTGTCAAAATAAAATTAAAGAGTTAAAAAGAGAAATGTAGAGCTCTCCTAAATAAAGACGTGACCCGAGTCTAGCTGACTTACAAGCTGGACCTCTAGAGGCTGTAACCCAGTGAGAGTTCTGAACCATGTGTCAGCTAGCAACAGGACCGACGAGCATCGTCTTAACGCTTTTATTACATTATAAAAGAAAACATGTTCCTGGACAGTAGTTGGAGAGACGTCGTAACTGCTACTTCAGACAATGTGATTTACGGAGTGATAAACCATCAAGAAGCAAGCCACACTTAACTGATTTCTGCAATGACAGAATCCCACATACAATTTAAGGCTGAACTCAAGCCCTGGGATGTCATGGGGCAGGAGCTCCCTTTTGCAACACAATAGTATAAAACTCTGAGTTCATATGACTGTGTTGAGAATAAATATGTGTAATAATTCCACATATTACATAACAAGCCATACTTTAGGTGATGAAAATTAGCACAAGTAGTTTGAGAATCCCTAGAAGGGTATTCTCACATAATTCATCTGAACAAAACATATTGAGCAAAACAAAGCAATGCATGTCAGTTCTATTCTTTAGTAAGATAGGCACGTGTAGACGACCAAACACAGGAAAAGACCGTGGTCATATATGAGTTTATAGAAAGGTGCAGGGAGGGTGGTGTTCAGGCTCATTACAGATCAGCAAGACTGTAGGGTCCCTCCTGGGCCCTAGGAAGAGTAACCACCCTTCACCACTTCAGGAACACATGCATGCTTACAAGTTTTTCATGGTTATTGCTATTTTTAGAACTCGAAAAAATAGCAATAAGCAAAGCTTCCATTTCAAAGAGGAGAGAAGGAAACAGGACAGCTGTGTGTCACGTCATACTCAGGCATAGAGCTGGAAACCTTTGGGAAGGGCAAGATGAGCCAGGAAGCCCAAAATGTGAATAAGAGGGGCCAGGGAGAAGGAGGTGGTGCTGTGGTCATGCAGCTCAGCCATATGGGCGAGGTCATGGGTTCACATCCTGGAACACTCCCTGAGCCTCCAGGCACACACACACCCGTGATCTGAGCCTGCTGAGACAGGAGCGTCTTGGTATGAGGACCACCTTGGAGGTACCTAGCTTCTGTTTCCCTCTCTGTGCTTCATGGAAGAAATTAATGTTAAAAAAAGACAAAAACTCTAGCAGGGCCAGCATGTGAATGGAGAGGCTGGGATTAGTTCCCCAAGACACACCTGTGCTGTTCTACTGTGGTGCTCGGCGGAAGTCAATAGCGATCTCTGATGGAGGACTACAGCTGCCCTGGTCTCAGCTGTTCTCTGCATGAGTAAACTTGGAATCTGAAAGTGTCTGCATGAAAAAGAGTCTCCCTATGTGTCACGAGAGGTGAAAATTTTGTATGGAAAGCTACCACCAATTCTTAACATACGAATAAATGTTCCCTAGTATTTTTGTGGAAAATAAAATGAGACGTCAGTGATTAAACAGTTGGTCCTCCACAAGCTACATTAATGGTTTTAAATGTCCATCTGCCAACTCACAGAGGTGACAGAACACCAACTCATAGGAACAGTGTCACAGGGACAGAGAGTGGAGAGATTCCCCACAGCAAAGGGGAAAACAGAGCATGCACGGAAGTTTCTAAGAGCAGTGTAGGAAGAAGAGGGATCGCAACAATGCCAACAATCCTAGAGAATCTCCAAGAACTCAGAATGGCTTTTCAGAAAGTAGCATCATATCTTACCTTTCTCCTACGAATATATATGAATGTATAAAACTATTATCTTAAAATATTCATTCTTACCTTTTATTCTTGAACTTTCTTGACTTTTTTCCTGCTGGAATAAAAACAAAAATAGGTTAAAATCTTTAAGTTAATTTGTGATCAACAGTCTGGTATAAGGTATCATTATAAAGACTTGTCAAAATATTTTTCTCCATACATGCCCAAGTGACATTGCAATACAATTCTCACCTTATAAAAATACTACATAAAATCTTCCGTTAGCGTAACAATAACTCTGGATAGACACGTACTTCTCTAAGAAGCCAATATGTCATATGAATATGGATTTATAAATAAATAAACTGATGCTTAATGAATAATAAATAAATAATCATGCCTCTCAAATGCCTTAGGCCATTCCATTTAATTCCAATGGATAGTGAATGATGTCTTTAGAATTTGCTTTCAACAGCCATACATCAATCATAAATAGTGGGTGAAGGAAAAAATGTTAAGGGCAAATATAGTGGAGAATTCCACGAAAAAGACACAAAAGACTTTTCAACTGTCTGTCCATCAATTTAACTTAGAATTGGTCCCCATCTCACATCTTTAAGGCTAATGTTGACAACAATTCTATTATTTATTCAAACACTGCTCTAGTCAGATCTGTCTCTCAACTTGACATACTCCTTGTTAGTTACCAGGCAACCCCAAAAGAATTAGCTTGCTTTCAAGTTTTAGAGTAGATATTGTGCATGCTCTAACTGCTCAATTAATATTCAAGCACAGTTTACTGTGTCTACAAGTTTCAGGGTCTCACACTGAAAATGATTTTGAAATATGTTCGTAATAAAAAATGACAATCACACATATACCGAACTACAGAATTGTATGAGTGCCAATAAATTTTGGTAACAGAGTTTAAAAAATGTGAAGAACTATTTTTCTGAAAGCATTAATCCCAGATTCAGATTTCCTGAAGAGAAATGTGAATTGAGAAATATAGTTTTGTTTTTTAATGTTTTTTGATTCCACAAGACTATAAGAATTTATGTTCTATCATCCTAATCCATTCTACCTTTGTTTGAATTCTGAGCTGCTCTCCATTAATTGATTTTTCCAGTTCTGATTTGTTTTTAATTTAGAGTATTTATTGATCACTTAAAATTAAGTATAAATTACATGTTTGAAAAAAATACATTATTCTTTAATAATTTTAGAATGAGTAGACTTAAATTTTCCTAAAGGGCATCTGTTTACAAAAAAAGAACTCTCAATCTTCATTCATTCATTCATTCATTCTGCCATTCTGTTCTATCACCAGGTAGAGATGGGTCACTTTCTAAGGGCCAGGAACTATTCCGGGTGCTGAAGCTATAGAAGTGAATGAGACAGAAAAATTATCATGTCCTTATGTATAGAGAGTAAGATGTTCTACTCAGAAAAAGCCATGCCAAAGGAGTGGGATGCTGGTGTAAAGGGTCTACACAAAGGGTCACAATAACAAATCAATTGTTAAATAAAGTGGAGAATGATGTGAGCAACTACACAAAGGGTCACAACGACAAATCGATTATTAAATAAAGTGGAGAATGAGATGAGCAAGAGATCTATGCAGACCTGTGGGATGGAAGAGACTTGCTCTATGAGAGAAAAGCAACAGCAAACGTCCTGAAATTTAAGAGTTTTTTACAATTGTCAAAATAGCAAAGGGACCAGTGTGATAGCCTGGACTGAGTGACAGAGCTCAGAGGAAATGCAATCACAGAGGTAATGGGGGGGGGGTCAGAAAACCTTGCAGAGAGAGGAGTTGAGAAGTTTATCTCCCCATCATAGGAAAGGAGCCTAATCTATGCTAAGGACACGGTCTGAATGAAGTTTGGGGACCAAGAATTGTAGACTTGGGATGGTAAAGTTATTAACTATGATTGGGCAACTGCTATGTTTCAGTGATTCATGGTGCAATGGTTTGGATAATGGTTTCTCCCTTGAAGGTCATGTTTTGGAATTTGGTCATAGTGGGCAATAATTGAGTCATGGTGATTGGGTCACAGAGGTACCAGTCTCACAAATGGATTAGTGCTGTCTTGTGAGAGAACTTAGTGAGCTCTTGTTCTCTTGAGATGGGGTTGGTTCTTCCAAGAGCAGGTTGTTGTAAAAGAAAAAGCAACCTGCAGCTGTCTCCCTCTTGGCACACCCTGTTGATATTTTCACTTTTGTCAGCCATGTTGTAAGCCTTTGGACATTCCAGATACAAGACTCTTGAGTCAAATAAACCTCTACTTCATTCTAATTCATCCATTCTCAGTTACTTCTGTTAGTACTTCAGAAACAGACTACTACACATGGAGAAATAAAAGTAATTTCTTATTTTTGGAAGTAATGTCATCAGATTCATTGATAGCCTAGCATATAACACACATAAAATTTGATTTCAAAAGTGGATGGATGATTTCAGCCTGAAAAGGATATAGGATGCTAATCTCCACTACTTTTCCTTTGGTTTAATAGGTTGGTATGAAGTTATTAATTCCTGTGCCAAATTTATGCTTGATTCTTATTATATAGATTCATATTACATCTGCTGTTTTTATCTGACATTCAGGAATAAAAGCTTGGGATAAAAACTTGTTACTGACTTGATGGGTTTCATGGTATTATTTCAATTTACAAAGACTGTAAACAAAATGTGCACTGGACTTAAAAATCTTCAAACTAGAACTGAATTGACTTACCGAATAGCTTCAGTTTTCAAAATGTATGTTACGGTTTTATTGCATACATAATTTGATGTTAAATATTCTTTGAAAATTTTGTGAAGGAGATGTATGTGAATTTATATTTAAAGTAAGACCAATGCATTCCATGAGACACAAGGATGATACTCATGGCTGAGGTCGGGATGTAAACCTCAGGAAGTTTTTTGTTTGCTCGTTTCAGCCATAAGTGTGTGTGTCCACGTTCAGTGGCTGAGACATGCACAGAGCATCCTGCATGCTACATCAATCAGCGAGAGTTTGCCTGGAGTCGCAGAGGACATCTTTGATGGACAGGCTCAGGAGAGCCAGGAAGACTCTGCATTTAAGGGTGAGCAGCACTGACGTAGGTGAAGGAGTTACGCGACTCGAGACAAAGAAAGGGCATGAAGAAGAGAAGAAGTAGGTTCATTGGGAAATAGTGCAAAGGATCACGTGACGCACTGATGATCAGACTCACCAAGCGGGCAAGTCGGCCTAAAATCCCACTCTCGGTATGTAGACATATGGTCACGTCTCTCCATAATGAAGTCTAAAATGACTGACTTATTTTGCAATGCATATGGATTAGGAGAATTTAAAAAAAGCTACAGGAAATGTTGTTTTATCGAACCTGTAATTTTAAGGTAAAAATGCCAATACTGAAGGCTCTTGTGCTAGCATCATTACATAGTGAGACATTAAGTCAAAATACAGAGAAAATATAAAATAAATATGTTTATAATCCACTTTCTTAGGCTATTAAAATGAAAATTAAGTAATTTCATTAAATAACTTTGGACAGTTACATTCCATTGTGAAAGATGGCCACCATTACTGTGGAAATATTTAAAAGGCATACTTGTCTAATTTTTAATTTTTAAAAATATTTTTCTAAGAAGAAAATGGAGAGATTGCATTTATCAGACTGAGAGGACACATTCTAATTTGCTTTGAGATCCTTTACCCATTGATGACCTTCTTGTCTGAAGAAACTGGAAATACAGTTTGATGGCATTAAGCTTCTTACAGTAAAGTCGCATTTTAACAAGTTATTGACATAATAACCACTCTGGAATGTGGGTGTGTTTGGAATATGCACGGCCAGCTCTGCACCCCAGAGAGGGGTTAAGGGTGGGTAGCACTGGTGATCTCTGATCTCAGAAGCTCACATACTCTCTGGAGAGACAGAGGCTGTTAGTCACAGGACAGTGATAGCAAAGGACAGGGTGAAGCAGAAACAAGCATGGGCATGGGGCAGCCAAGACCTCGGCAGAGGGAGGGGGAGAGCAGGAGTTCTGCTTTAAAGTGTGGCTTGAGCTGAGAAGGAAAGGAAAGGGAAATAGCTGCCTGGGGAAAGACCGTAAGCTGTCCGAAGGCACCGATCTGTAAACTCCCAGTCCTAGCTGCGAAGCTGCGGACAGTCGAGCGAGCCCCGCCACACACTTCTCTCGATGAGGACTCCTTGAAACATGTTCAAGGAACTTCTCCCATCTCCAGGAGGAAATTGATGCCCAGTTACATATTATAGCTGATGCTATTTGGTAAAGAGCCATATGAATTAAACAAACATGCCAATTATTATAACAGTTTTTACAGTGCATTTCTGGAGTGTGGAAAATAATGATAATTTTTCTAACACAAATCACTAATTAAAAGATTTTAATAAATGGAAACATAAATCAGTAATTAATGAATGATTTTGTCACAGAAATCAGTGAAGTTGCATGATTTAAAAGGCAGGCATTACATCAGAACTTCATCCATTTTTATGTTTATCTCTCCATACAGTTTGTAATTTATGAAGTCTATAAATGGCCCATAAGTAATAATTGTTATAGATACCAAATGACTTGGGTTTTGAATCCCATGTGATAGGGAGTACAGTATTTGTAATCTAGTAATACAAATTTTACAGAGGCTATCAATAAATAACCAACATTTATTATCAAGAATATATTTGTAGGGAACCAGCAGTTAGCGTAATGGCTATGTCACTGGACTCCCATGTAGTCGACTGCGGTTCGCATCCCGGACCCAGTGGCTTAAAACTCATGCTGGGCGCGTGTGCGTGCATGCCCAAGATCCCGAGAGGAGAATGGAGGAGAAGGGACTGTGGCGTGACCATCCCCCCTCGGGGGTGATTTCTTACTTTCTGTCTCTAATGTCTCTGTCTGTCTGGCGAGCGCACGCGCCCTATAGTGAAAAATATCTCTCTCAAAAAAAAAAAGAATATATTTGCACACAAAAACTGTACAGTCTGTGATACAGAAAACATAAAGACGTATTGACAGGTACCCAAATGAAGGAAGATCCTCTGAGCACAGGCACCTGAGTGGATTGAAGAGAAAGACACACGCAGAGTCTAAGCACA